TAGTGACAGCAGCCACACTTTTGTACTCAACTTCAGTACTGGATCGAAAGACCACATGTTGTTTCTCCAGGTCTAAGATATTAAATTTGATCCTAAATATGTACAATAATCAGAGGTTGATTTTCTGTCATCAGGGTCAGAACTCCAATCAACATCACAAAAGGCAAATATTATAAAATGGGAGGATTTTGAGAAGTTTAAACCGTACTTGTCAGTACCCTTAAGATAGCTTAGAATACGTTTAATAGCTTGCTAGTGAAATTTCTTTGGGTTATGCATGAATTGAGATACCTTGTTTTTAACATACGCAATGTTAGGGTGCATAGTTGTGACATATTGAAGGCCTCCGACCAATGATATGTAAAAAAAGATGCATCTACAGCAGGTTTTTCATCTTCAATAATGAGCTTATGTCCTGACACCATAGGTGTCTTCATTGGATTAGCATTATCCACGTCAGTTTTATGGAGAAGATCATGAATGTATTGTGTTTGACTTAAGTAGAACCCACCTTTGTTTGTTTGTTGTACTTGAACACCAAGAAAATAATGAAAATTACCTAAGCCCTTCAGAGAAAATTTGTTGTTTAATGTGGTGATTAGATTAGATATAACTTGGGAAGAGTTGTTGGTGATTATAATATCATCAACATTGACAAGAATAGTAAGGGTGACATATGAAGTAACTTGAAAAAACAAGAAGGTATCCGATTTTGCGGCTTGAAATCCCAAACAAGAAGGTCTAGGGTCTTGTTTAAGATCATATAATGCCTTGTTCAATTTGCAGACCAATGAGCTCTCTCCTTGCTCAAAACTTGGGAGTTGAGTGATGAAAACTTCTTTCTCCAAATTGCCATTTAGGAAATTAAAGTATTGTTAATATCAATCTGTTTGATGTGCCAATTTAGAGAAAGTACTTAGGTGAGAACTACATGAATTGTGAAAGACTTGATCACAGGACTGAAGGTCTCAGAAAAATTGAAACTTTCTTGTTGATGAAATTCTTTTGCCACGAAGCGAGCCTCGTACTTATGTATACTTCCATCAGCATTCCTTCTGATTTTAAATACCAGCCTTGACATTGGAACTGCGAGGTGGGGAAACAAAAGTCCAAGTGTTATTATAAAAGAGTGCTTGATACTCTTGTGCCATAGAGGATTTCCTGTGAGGAGAGACTAATGTTTTCTTGACTGAGATTAGTTCTCTATCAGTTACGTTGATTGATGAGTAGTTGACTAGTAAAATAGGCTTTGGGTTTGAAAATTTTCAGACTTACTTCAAGTTTGCACAAAATAATTATTTTGACCAGATACAGCCAGAGTGTTTTTGTATAGTTGGAATATTGTTAAGAACACAGTCCATATGAACCTAAAAAAATTTATTAGTGGCAAGAAACAAGGTTGTAGCAAGAGCTAAATCAAACTTATAACCTTTATAATTATGGAGGAACATGATGAATTGTTAGATAAAAATTGATGGTTAACAGAAAAAGAAAAAACATGTTTATCAAACTTAACATGCGTATAGATATATATTTTTTCACTTGGAGCAAGGCACATATAACCTTTATAATTAGAACTGTAACCAATAAAAACACACTACTCACATCGAAAATCAATTTTATGTTGATTATATGGTCTAATATAGGAATACACATCACATTCAAAAATTTGAAAATACGTATACAATGGTTGTTGACCAGATAACTTTGCAGGAGGACTTTCATTTTGTAAAATTAGTGTGGGTAGTATATTAATTAGATAAATAGTTATTTGAAAAGCTTCACCTCAAAATTTGAGGCATAGAAAAACTACCTAAAAGAGACAAGTCTGCCTCAGTTATATGCCTGTGTTTCCTCTTAGCTGAGACATCATGCTCATGTTACCTAGCCTAGCCTCTCAGGTAGGAAAAGGTGAATCATTTACATTCATATCACATGAAGAGAGACAAGATTGAATGTTATTATAGTTAGAGAATTTTTCTTTACAATTTGCATGATAGAATTTATTGTTATGAGAGAGTTCAATATTATCAAATGTATACAGTCCATTTCTAATCTGTCCTTCTAGAATAACTTGTTTTGTGACCTAAGATTTAACAAAACAACCATCGGCATTAAATTAAAAATAGACATTATTTTCTCTAGCAAAATGTGATAGGCTTAATATATTCTTTGAGATGTTAGGAACACGTAAGGATAATGTGGAGTTGAAAGGAATGAGTTGCCAATTTAATGAATGTTAGTTGCTTTTCCATTGGCCATTTTGATTTGATTTTCTCCATTATATGTTATTTTTTCACCAAGATTTGTAGCATCTAGAGTCATGTGATTTGTTGCTCTTGAATATGGTACCAAGCTAGATCATGAAGTGTTTCAGGAGTTGCCAACATGCAATACATAAACTGATTCTCAATTGATGAGTTCAAGCACATTACTTTGCTTTCTAGCATTCTCATCTTGGTATTGTGGGTCAACCTATGATAGAAATAGAGTTATATGTCTAAACTTACCATATATCTGACACTAAAATTTATTGGAATATTTGTCATTGTTCCGATTTTATCTTCCGTGACCTTAAAAAGTAAAGTTGTCTATGAAATTACTCTTGTTGGTGTGAAACTAAAAAACTGAGTTCTTGAGGAATTAGTATTTTTTTTAAAATCTTGGATCTTGATTGTGCGCTAGATTGGCTTGTAAAAGTTGCATAAAGAAGGGATCATATCTTTTTTATTCTTTCTTCAACCGTGATCAATAGTTAGAAAGGATTAACTTTAGACAATAAAAAGTTAGAAAACTAATTTGATGCAAAAAATAGTCAAAGGACTAGGTTGAAATAAAAATAAAACTAGAGAACTAAATCATTAATTTTACTTAAAAATAATTAAAGAATAAATAAAAAATTGTCAATATATATATACAGAGAGAGAGAGAGAGAAGCGTAGAATTACTCTTCTAAAGTTTAAAAAAATTGTCAAAATATAGAATTAGATTAGAAAATTATATTAAATATTAGAAATAACAGTTTTAAAATTTCCACACCCTAAACAATTTGCTTAACCACTCAATTCATAATAATTATAATCAAAATTTTATTTAAATGTAATTACAAACAAGTAAGTAACATCAATAAATTTTAACCATGAATTATAAGTAAATTAGTGTTAATTTATTTATTAAAGTTTTTTTGACCAAATATTCTCTTTTAATTATTTTGATTAAATTTTTTTAACATATTAATTAAAATTTGTGAAAAAAATTATATTCATTCATGGAATATTGTGAAGCTTGTATTTTAATTTATTTATGAAGGTTATGTTACATTTTAATTCTTATATTATAATAAAAGAAAAGTGAATCGTTTACATTCATATTAAATGAAGAGAGACAAGATTGAATATTATTATAGTTAGAGACTTTTTCTTTACAATTTGCATGAGAGAATTAATTGTAATGAGAGAGTTCGATATTATCAAATGCAAGTCCATATCTAATTGGTCCTTCACGAATAACTTGTTTTGTGACATGAAATTTAACAAAACAATAATTAGTATGATATTCAAAATAGACAATGATTTTCTCTAGCAAACTGTGATACACTTAATATATTCTTTGAGATATTAGGAACAAGTAAGAGAGTATTCAAGTAAATAGGTTTTTGACAATACAAAGTTAAAAGGAATGAGTTACCAATATGATGAAATGTAGCCACTTTTCCATTGGCCATTTTGATTTGATGTATGATAGTTTTTCCACTAAGATCTGTAGCATTTATAGTCACGTAATTTGTTGCTCTTGAATTTGCATACCAAGGTGTTTCGGGAGTTGCCAACATGGGAGACATAGACTGATTTTTTATTGATGAGTTATCTACTAACATCACTTTGCTAGTTTGATGATTGTCTCTTACATTTTCATCTTGGTATTATGGGTCGGTCAACCTATGCTAGCAATAAAGAGCTATATGTCCAAATTTGTCATATACCTAACACTAACAGTTATTCGAATATCTACCATTGTTCCAATTTGATCTTCTATAACCTCAAAAATTAAATTGCCGCTAAAATTCATAGTTAAATTTTAACTATGAATCATAAGTATTTTAGTGTTAATTTATTTATTAAAGTTTATTTAATCAAGTATTCTCTTTTAATTAGTTTAATTAAATTTTTGTAACATATTAATTAAAATTTGTGAAAAATATATATTCATTTAAAAGGTATTACAAAAGCTTGTGTTTTAATTACGTTATATTTTATTTCTTACGTTTTAACATCTTAAAACAATTATTATTTATTAAGTTATTATCAATTGAGTCATGTCAACGTTCTTTTTAAGATGTTCAATGCATACAAATAGAAAAAATATTGAGATGTTAAATGCGCAAAAATCAAAATATAGAAAAATAGTTAATATATATTTTAACCGAAAGAAGTATTTTCTTTATTCCTTATGTTTTGTTGTTCAAGGATTTTGCACGTAGATTAATTTTTTTTCTCAATCTAGTATGTTATTATATATTTTTGACTAAAATACTCTAACTCAAACTATTTTATTTATTATTTTCTAACTTCCTAAGAAAAAGAAGAATATAAATAAATAAAACTTAAAAATCAAAATCGACAAATTACAACGCCAGAATAACAGAACATAAAGAATGAATAAAATATTAGCACATATATCCATCTGTTATGCACACTTTATTAAAACTTAATTCTTTAATCATCGATTATTGTCACATTTTTACTCATTTATAATTAATAATACTATAAATTAATTAATTTCCATTTAAAATTGATAACAATTAAAAACATTTAATTAGAAGTTATTATTGACCTCAAGTATCCCACTGATACAGATATGATATTATTTTATAGTTCTAACTTTTAAAAGCATACTTAGCAGTAAGTTTAAGAACATCTAGCATGTAAGCATACTAAAAAGAAGTGAGATTTCTATGTTTACCCATAACATCCGCCATTAATCCAAAGATATTATAATAAAATGTTAATCTTTTCAAAATTTTATATCATTATTTCAACATAAAATTAGCTTCGTACACGGGGCATGGATTGACATGCACCCATTTTATTTTTTGTCGTTAAACGCTTGCAAGAATAATTAAATAAAAAGTTAGTGGCTTCTACGCACATCTTACAATAAAATAATGATGGGACTTCACCTTGTGGAATATCCTAAAAGTATATATGCTAAAAATATACAATACAACAAGGAGGGGACCACAAGTTACTTTGCATAGTGGTCTTGTTAATTACTCCCATTTGCTACATTCCTTCCATTCCAATACAAGATTCCAATAATGGCTCAACCCACCACCCCCTTTAAGCCAGATCATTCGCAACAATCATCATGGATTGGTATTGACTTCAATTCAACCCCTTTTGTCATGATCTTATAAACCGTATCCTGAAGCTACCTCGAAATTGAATCTGCACAGTGTAAAATCAAAATAATGAAGGTGATTATGCTTATGCTCTTAGGTCCTTGTGTACCTCCTAATTCCCCTTGGCGTAGGAACCACATCACGGCCAGTTTTTAACAATGCTTGACGATCCTTAATTGTTTTATCAAACAGTCTGTTGTCTGGCTTCTCAGCGTAGCACACATAATAACAACTCACACAGGCATGAGGCACTGCCATGGCAATCCTAGTCTGCAAAGTCAACCAAGTTTATCATGTTAAGACTTTATCACGTGCTAACTATTCATTTGTTGGCTTAACTAATTGAAGTATATTATTCCAATAATCGACTGTATCAACTATTGTCATAATTGATTATATAAAATAACTTTTATGTTTATATGTTAGGTATAAAAAGAAATCACTTTCAAAAAGTTGTGTGTAATAACTAGTTTTGTATCTGAAATAATCAATTAATAAGGATAAAATGAGAAAATAAAAGTTAGCTGGAAAATATGCTGATAGCTTTTAATCATAAGCTCCAATAAATAAGTTGTTTACTTTGTAAAAATTAATCAAAGATTATTAAGCTGATTTTCTGACAGATACCAAACAAGATTGAATAGTGTTTTTAACCCCTTTTTTTTACATAATCAGAAAAAATAACCCTTTCCAAGCACACTAACAAGAGAATAAAAATATAATAAAGTGGTCAAATAAGGGGTACCAACCAAAAGGTATCCAATGAAGAATGTGAGGAGGGAGAGGGTGGCTGTGAAAGTGTAGTGTACTTTATGGGTCCAAGCAGCCACAACAATGACACAAATAGAGCCACTGCAAACTCCTGTGAGGAAGCAAATTGAGCTGGTAATATCAGAGTCTACAATTGACACCATGTCTTCCCTCTCAAAAAGGGCCCATGTCTCCTGCGATGCCGTTACAAAACCTTTTCCATATGCTGCAATCTGTTAAGATGAATTAAAATATAATTGAATCACCTAATTAAATTATTGGTCTTAAACTACGAATCAGCCATGCTGAATATACAGTTATATAATGTAGGATGAAGGACCACTTGCAGGAGCACAGGTATTCAGATGGTGATTGCTCAGTGGTAAATTTAGAACAAAAGTAATGACAATAAAATTTGCAAGACAGTAGTAGGGACCATATAACAAAAGAATCCAATGAGTATCAGATAAACCAAAAGATTATTAGGATTCTAGATAAATATTACTATGAAATAACTAACCAATAGAAAACATTAAATGCAAATCTAATTGTTCAGAATTGTAAAATCATCTAAACATCTATGCATAAAGATTTACGATAGCTTAAGAAGGGAAAACTCAATTTTAACGCTACTTGAAGACTAACACAACATTATAAGTTATGTGTAGCAATTACTTGTTTACTTACCCGCACATATGCCCAGCCATTGCCATTTCGGAAAATGGATTCCATGACTCTCAAACAACAATGAGCACAACAAAACATGAATTCGTCTTCTCCCTCGAGCAAGTTCAATCCGCGGGCAACGATCCTGAGGGCTTCTATTCCAGGCACAAAGAGGGAACCCAAACAAGCACTCCCAAGATTGCGGGTGAGTGCTCTGAGGAAGCAAAATTGGGTGCTGGATTTCATTCCTCTCATGTAATACAATGCAATTACCCTACTAACAGTGATGTTAACAACATTCCTCATGACCTCTGTGGTCCAAGCCAAACTTAACACCAATGCAATGATGATCAAAGGGGGAAAGTAGAAGTTCAAGGCTCCAATCACAGCTAAAATCCAAAGAGAAATCCATAAGAATCCAACCCCAAGAACATGATAAGTGGGTCTGTTTAGATCAGGAAATTCAGACATTGGTTGAAGTGACAAACTCAAGACCTTACAACAAAACTTAATTCTATGATTAACCCAGCAAGCATATAAGCCATTCCCAATTGCAAAAGCAATGAAACAAACCCCAACACCATCAGTGGCAGGCTTTTGGAAACAAATGAGGAGAATCCCAGCAGCCAAAGACATCACAAAAGTGAGCCACAGAATCAAATGAACCATTATAGTGGGCCATTTCCTAATCGCCTCTTGCCAAATAAATGCAAGAATTATGCTCATAAACGCTGCAGCCTCCACTTGGGGAAGAAAATACTCCAACACGTTCTTCTCTTTCCGCTTTCTAGATTCCGATTCTCTGATAAGCCCTTGAATTCCCTTGAACACCAGAAAACACACCAAAGCAACGGCTACAAACATGTGGACGACAAAGAGAAACAAGGATATTCTGTTCGTATATCTTCTCGAATTCAGGCTCACCGGTTCCTGTTCAAAAACAAAAAATCCAATAATATTAATTAATAATTACTATTCCCCGAAAATCAAAACCAAAATTAATAACTTAAAATTTCAAACAAAAACACCTGCAAATGTAACAAAAATAAAAATAAAAAAGAACAAGTACTTGTGGTAGTGAGGTGGGAGGGGGAGGGGGAGGGGGAGTGGAGCGCGTGTGAGAGCGTTGAGGTTGAGCAGGAGAAGGAGTTGCAACTCTTGTGGAGCTATTAATCACAATCCTCAAAGGGTTAGTGGGGTTGAGTCTGTTGAACCTTGAGAGGTTAAAATCTTCATGATCATTGCTATTTCTATTGCTACTACTATTGACATCATTGTTCTCTTCAAGACCCAGTTCCAGCTCCAAGTCTTGCTTCTCCTTCTTCGCTTCAGCTTCAGCAGTTTCATTATTCTGTTTCTCAACCACCACCTACCGCACCAAAAAGAGAAAAGATTAAAACTTTGCATAAATGGGAACCCCCAAGAGCTGAAAACATTAAGAAACACAAACACACAGGTTCTGTGGCACCCATTGGAAAGTGTGTTTCAGCCGAGGAATGAAGCAATGGAATGGATGAATGACGTTACTGCCTTATGCGTTTAACTGTTGTTTTCATTTGGCCTCTTACTGCGCCTCCTCCGTTGCTTTGAAAGTTGAAACTTCATTCTGTGTTCCACCCACCAAACCAAAATGCCACACAGCGCGTCCAACACGCGCCTTCACATGTCAGGAAAGAAAACACAGCACGTGCCACGTTAACTCATATTTTATCTTTATCTTTATGAAAAAAATTTAAACCTCCATTTATTCTATAAGATATATACAGCCAACGAAAAAAAGTGTCATGTTATACAAAATTAGTAATGTATTATACTCAAATTCAAATAATCAATATATTAATTTAAAAAAAATTTAATATATAATTTCCAATTATAATAATAATATATGTTATACTGTATTTATAAATAAAAATATTATGCTTATAAATAAATATAATTTATAAAATAAATTAGTAAAATATTCTTCCAAATATTTATTTATATTTTTCTAAAAATATATAATTTGAAATAGTTCACCCTAAAATTTCATCTAATAATTAATAAAATATAATAAATGTATTATATTACGAATTTATACAGATTTGTAAAGATAAATTTATATAAAATAATTAAATAAACTTTTGAAAAACTTTTATTATATTTTACACAATTCATTTTATATTTTTATTTTAAACAAAAATGCTATAATTCTTAGCTTTGTTGTTTCTCTTTTTAGTTGGTCATTATTTCCTTTGATAAATAGATCTTTGTTTTTGGTCTATTTTTTCACATTTAAATAAAATATGCACAGTAATTACAATACACAGCTATTAGAGAGAAACTACACAAATGCACATTCTTTGTCAGGCTTATGTTAAGTGTATACTTATTTTCTTTTAGAACTAATGAAGTATTCATTTAACTACGACGTTTTTATACTTTGAATGTGATGTTGTATGTTTATTGTGGTGTGAAATGGCTTGAAGTTATGTATGTATAAGCTTTGTACTTGATGTGTAAAAATTTGATACATGTTGTATGAGTTGGAGGGTTTTAGTTAATGTTGAGTTGCAGGATATCTAGTTGTAGCGAGAATGAGTCATCTAGAACAAGGCATTCTGGAGCTCTCTCGCTCTGCAGCAAAAATGATAGACAGCATAAGGGTTCCAGTGTCTGGTATATCTTGTTATAGTGAGAATATTGCGAGTAGAGGGGTATTTAAGAGGATTTTGAGCTGAAAACTTTCATTTTTCATCAAACCACCAACCCCTCTCACCTCCCCTCCGTTCTCTCACCCTTTTCACTCGAAGAAAACCTTCTCAAGGCCAAATTTCTTCCAGATCTAAGTGAAAACCTCTACCTAGTGCGGATCTAGGGTGATCTGCAGATTTAGAGCCTTATTTTCTCTTGGAAACTCACGGAAGCTTCGATTTAAGAAATCTCATTTCAGGTAAGGGGAGCTTACCCGAGCTGCCTTTATTCATTCATTAGATATGGAGATGCTTAGAGGTATAATTTCATTTTCGCTAAGAATGAATTGATGTAGGGATAACCCTAAGGTAGAACACCAAGTATTTATGTAATTGATTGTGAAAGTTGAATTGTTGTGCTGGAGATGTAGGCTAAGATATGTAGTGAAGATCGTAAAATATTTAACACATAATGTGAAGCTTGTGTGCTGAAATGAATAGATGAGTGTTGGTTGATGCTATAATAAAAGTTATAAGTGTTGAGCTGTCGCTGTACATGTATGTATATTACTAGATGTTTCTGAGTTGTGAAGCACTTATTTGTGGTTGAGTTGTATTATTATGCTAATATTCATCATTATAGAGCCTAATTGAATATTTAGGTAGGATAGGCATATATTGATGATAACATGAGTTGTACTATGGTATATATCTGGATCTAGGTACCGGGATAGGTTGCTCCCAGACTGGAGAATTATAGGTTCCTTCTGGATTATTATGACTGTGAACCCAGTTGGAACTGAGCTGTAACATCTTGCATTAGATGAACTACATTATTGTGTTGTGTATTGAAAATATTGAGATAATGAGTTGTATGAATATTTATATTCACATTTTACTTCTATAACCATGAATGTCATTTTGTAAGCTCACTCTTGCGATTCTATCTATGTTGGTGGGTATGTGTATGTTTTGCAATGATTGTACTGTAGTACGTGAGCAGATATGATAAGTAATGCGTCTACTTCTTAAATTGGAAGGTATGGTTGAGGGATGTCAAAGTTGACATAGTTTTAGGGAATTATAACTTTAATTATTTTGTCAGTCTAGGTTTTAGTGATAGGTCTAGACTGTTTAGCTACAATTTTCAATGAATAATTATTATTTAGAAGCTTGTATTTTGAGCTTTGTGTAAAGCAATTGTTGAATATATATAATACAGGGAAATGATCTTATTATACTAGTGTAAGTCTAAAAAGTCTTACACCCAATCTGAATCTTTCATTTAACTTAAATCTAACGGTCAGTGAAATAATAAATTATAACCTGTTAGATTTAAGTTAATGAAAGATTCAGATTAGATGTAAGAGTTTTTAGACTTAGATCGGTGTAAGAAGATCCTGCCCCATATATATATATATACTTATGTAATTTTTAGTATTATATGAAAATGTCCTCAGGGCTTTGTTAATTTGTTGATTGAGATGTTGAAGTTTAATTTTCGAAAAATTATATTCCCTACTCTATGCATGTACTATTTCATTAATTATTAAATTAGAAACGGTAATACAGGATGTCATTGATTCTTTACAAAAAAGGGTCGTGACATCATTATTCTTTACAATAGTTTATAATACGTTGCACAATTTATTTTAATTATAAATTTTTTTATATAAAATATGTTAATGAAATTATTATATATTATAAAAAAGTGATTAATTTAAATTTAATATTTGAGATAAAATTTTATTTTATTGCAATTGTATCATATTTAATAATGTTTCCTATTATTACAAAAATTGGTAATGATACTGTTATTAAAAATATAATAATTATTGCAATTTTGTATTATATTTAATGTTTTTTATATAGTATATTAGTAATTTTTACTATGATTACAAAAATTAAAGATCGAACAACAAAAAATTGATGATTATATTTTTAATAAGTTATAATTTAAAAAATATATTAATTTTAAATATATTAAGTTAATTTATTTAAAAATTTATAATAAATAATATTTTAATATAGTCACAAATTATCTGACCTACTTAAAAATTACAAACTTGATCACTATATTATAAATAGTAATTATAATATTATGAAAGTATATATAATATTAATTAAATATGACTTTTAAAACTAAATTTTAATCAATTTTACTGTTAGATATTGATATATACAAAAATAAATAAATTTATTCTAATTAAAGAAATAAAAATGTTAATATTAAATTTTTCACATGTAAAATATAATTACATTCAAAATTTTTTAATTTAAAATACTTTTTATAAATAAAAATAATTAAAATTATAATAATTAATATAATTACATAAAATAACAAATAAATTTTAAAAAAATAAATTATTATTTTATATACTAATTTATATAAAATTTTTAATCTTATAATTTAGTTTATATATTATTTAATGTTATATTAATTCCATGTACAGTGAATTATAGGCCATGTATCTAGTGAAAAGACATTTTTTATATGAGAACGAGAGAAGGAAACTTTTATCATTAAATTTTATTATGAATTGTCAAGAACATATAAATTATATAAATTTTTAAAAAGTCACCTAATATTTTTAAATAATTATGTAACTTTTCAAATTTTATAATCAATATCATTCATGTATGATTATGTATGAAAAGTAACAGGATCATTTATCAAGATCACATAATTTTTTTAACTTTATATAATATTTTAATTTTAACTATTCATAATGACATCTAACAATCAAAGTTTGTTTATTTTACTCTCACTTTAAAAAAGTCCTCATACTAGATACATTACATATTCATATCTTCAACTGAAAGTTTAATATGACATTTTTATTTTTAAAAGTTTGTTAATTTACTAATTTTTTACAATCTTTCATTTATTTCATCTATATTTTTCTTAACCTTTTAAATTTATATCTTTTTTTTAATTTTTTTCATATTATTATATTTTTATATTTTTAATAAATAATTTAATATAAAAAATTTAGCATTGAATAAATAATTAAATTTGTCTACTTTTAAGTAAATTTTAAATTGTTTCTTTAATATATACTTAAAATAAAAAATTTAAATATTATATAAATAATACAATATAAATAATTAATAATATAAAAATTAAAATATTAAATATAAACTAAATTAGTATTCGTTCCTTAACTTTTCTATTTGTTTCATTTTTACTCTCTAACTTTTCTTTTTCATATTAGTCTCATATGTTTTAATTTTTTGTGAAGATAATCCTTTCTCTGTTAAACTTGATTAATAGTTTTATTAACTTTACTCATGTAAAACTAGATGTGGAATAAAAAAATATTATTATTATTTTGTCAGACTTATGTAATTTTTATAAAAGTGATATTTCCTATCCCACACAAACATACAAAAAGAAGTATATATTGAAGGAAGAAAAATTGTAAAGTTCATCATCCTACATTGTTGGCAAAATTGAAAAATGAATCGTATGAAAATTTTGAAGAATATTCATTTAGGAATCTTAGTATTGTTGAAGGTATATGGACAAGCATATAAAAATTCCAAGAGTTGAGTACCAACATATAGGTTTTTAAAAAATACATCAGCAATCTATTGAAAAAATGAAGTAAATGATCATTGATAAGGTAGTTGATAATTGAAAAAAAAATTAATACATTTAATTTATTAATTACTGTTAGTAATTTAAGCAAAAAATTAAATGAAATTAAAAATATACACTCATTGATAAGTTGTGCATGTCATTTGATGTGAGATGGTCTTGTATGGCGTGCAATGACACTATCGTTTACCGACATCGACAGATTGAAAGATAAAATAATTATCACAAGTTAAATAGTTAAGTAAGACAATAATTCATAAAAAAATGTGTTGGTAATTTATAAATTTTTAGTAGTGTTAACTTTTAAAATTATTCTTATTTGAAAAATCTCTTAAAATTAATTTTTATTTAAAAATGCGTTC